TCGTAAGGCCCGTCTGCACCTTCGTTCGAAAACACTAATAACACGTGCACTGCCCGAGCAAGAATTCAAATTTTCCATCCGAATCAAGACGGAACACGGACAGACATCCACAAGGCCCTACCACTCATTGTCAGTGAGTGTTCACAGCGGTGGCGTCCATATTTGCCCTCGCTGTAAAATAACCTAAATGAACGGACTCACCGTCAGAGAGCAGTAGAATCGAATACCATTTGCTCCATCCTCCCTTTCATTTCACTGACACGATGGCCAGCGCTCAAAACTGGAGATATCTTAAGAGTTGCAGGGTTAGAAAATTTGAGTCTGAAGCTACTTCCATCAAAGGAACGCTTCAACAGATTGTTCCGTCATTAAGAATGAACGATTAAGTAGGTAAACGGTGGCAGTTTGCAAGCAGGAGGCAGAACGGTAGAGATGATCTTGAGGGGGAATTGGGGGGGGGGGTTTTGCGGGCCCCGTGGACCGAACGCAGATTGCCATATTATTGCCAGCCACACGTGTTCAAAGTGGGGTGCACAGCTTCTGCCCCTTATGCATTAAGATCACACAATTTAACGACAATAACAGTAAGAACGAATTAAGTTTCCGAGTCTGCCAAAATGATGTAACATCAACGGAATAGATTTCTGTGGTCTACCGTGAAGACGGAGACGATACGATCCTCCGAAAGGCGGGTAGCCGCCTACAAACTACATGGCGTTAGGACACAACGTACCACGGTCCACATTCTCGACGCAGAACAACCTCAAATCACGCAAGCAGCATCTGTGGTCCATTATATCTTGCATCAAAGCGAACTCGAAAGGATCTTGAGAAAAACACGCAGGAAGAAGTTACGTCCCTTAATCGACCTATGAAGTTAGGTTAGGTTTCCAATAGCTCTCTGCAGGTTTCTTCTCTGAGACTTCAAAATGTGGCAACAACTTAACGTGAGTACTCCAGTCATGCGAAGTTCTACAGAACAGTGAAGTTACTGTAGATTGTTAGGCAGGCCTGCCACTACAGCGGAAAAACCTACATAAGTACTCGTACGAGGACGATACGCTGAATAATATAATACCACACCAACAATAAGAAACCCAACAACTCTGCAATATTTGGACTGTAATGTCCAATTGAATCCGATCATCAATCATTACGAAGGAGCAAAGCACAGAATCTTGCACATCGCAGAGTCCTCCTGGCTCGAGGTAGGGACGGGCCACATCGGGCGGCGAGCGACACGTAAAAACAAACCCAGCGCTGAGCTGTCACCCAGTTCCGCTGACAAATGGCATCGGGTCTACACTGCAAAGTGAACCAACGAGCAGCCTGCCATAAATCCAGCCTCCTATCGCGTCCCTGTTTCTCGCGAAGCCCTCGGCAATCGCCTCAGAAATCTCCATTTAAAACGAAGCTCGTCCAACCGAGGGTACAGCAGCAACAGCGCTCTTTTTCTTCGCAACGATAGTTTTCCAATTTTGTGGCGATAGTGCGCGGTGACAGGTCTTCCATACTGCGGCGAGAATTATGAAAATCGCACACACCCCCCTCACCCCATCCCGCATCCTTTTGTTTCTCGCTTGTTATCAGAAGGGCCATTTCGCGTAATAGAATGACTAGCAGTAAAGCTCATGAGAACAAGCGACCGACGCGCGCGGATGGGCCTATCAGCGAGGGGATTACACGTCGAATCTTCCGAGAAGCCAGCATCTTTCTACACATCACTTACTATTCATGAAAGGAATTGAAAAATTAACCGCCGTCAGCTGATCCACCATCACCCCCTTTCCGAGCATGCAATCCCCTCGAGAGGGCCATAAACGAGGATTTGCGGGCAACCAGGGTCTTGATTCTCTGATTCTCATAAAGAAACATGTAATCAACATTCAAGGTGTCAGCCTAAGAACCTCTCGTAATAGCAGCAGTGATACGCCGTGTCATACAGAATATCAAATCACCCCCTTCGATAACAAAAAGTCGCCTGAACGGCCATGGTCTGTCTCCACGCGCCCGTCACTCTCGGTGTTCGACTTCGGCGACGCGACTGTAACGAATTTAAACATTCAACGGAATGGAAGCCCGAAGGTCGTCTAATA